GGCTTTATTCTCATGGTGATCGGTTGAACATTAGAATCATGTCTGCATCCAGCAGTCTGCAGGTCTGTAATCCTCCATCTCTGCCTCTACTCAGAACACTGGGAAGAGCTCTTTATATAGTGACTCAGTCAATACTGGCTTATTGCCTATGGGTGTGGAAGCAGTGGCCTAGCAGCAGGCCAGTTACATCATCAAGTGGTTTAGGTTCAGGTGAGGATCCTGGCCATAGGAATGTTCATTTCCCCACAGCTTCCAACTTAGGAGCCACCAGAGAAAGCCAAATATGGACCCCTAACCAATCACAAAGGATGCCCAGCTTCCAGTTAGCCCACCTCCAGCTCCCCATGTCAGTATGTTCCAATTAGTATATACCTGAAACCTTCCCTTTTTCCCAATAAAAGCTTTTCTGCTCCTCTACTTGTCTTTGAGTCTCTGCTAAAGGAAAAGTGATGGTGGCTGACTCCCTTGCTGTAGTAAGTTCTGAATAAATAGCCTTGCCTGTTAAAAAAAGGGGGAAAAATCTTTATACAAAAGTGAAATCTATCTCCTTATGGCTTTCATACATTGGTCTTGGACCTAGCATTTTAATCCTGAAGAACATATTATTCCTTCTTTCACATCCAATTATTTGAGGAAACTTAGTATTTCTGAGACATCACAGAGAAAAAGCCATTGCTGTATAGTCAGTTCAATAAAAATGCTCTAAGGAAACATAAAGGTGGTTAGCTGAATTCAGAATTGAGTTAATGAGAGTTAACTCATTGTCTTACCAATCGGTTTTAGCCCTGGGCAAGTTCACTATGGATTCAGTGAGACCAAGGAATGACTTTGGAATGTTCTTGGGGTGAAAGGGCTTATTACCCAGCTTGTTCTCCCAGTGATAAGTTGAGCACTAGAATTATGTCTCCATCCAACAGTCTGCAGGTCTGTAACCCTCCTTCCTCTATGCCTCCACCCAGAGCACTGGGCAGAGCTGTTTATATAGTGACTCAGTCAATAATATAGCTTATTGCCTACGGGTGTGGAAGCAGTAGCCTAGCAGCAGGCCAGTTACATCATCAAGTAATTTAGGGTCAGGGGAGGATCCTGGCCATAGGAACTTTCACTATTCACACTCATGCATCTGTACCTCTACTTAGATATTAAATTTTGGACTTTCTTAATTGTTTCTCTGATAACCATTGTGAATTCCAGTCTGACCTTACCACCCTTGACTCTGCTTGATTTAGATACTGTTCCCCATGGACTATTATCTGAGGTCTGCAATCACATCTATGTCCAAGGGAGAACTCTTCTTTGCCTTGAGTGTCCGTTTATATCCTCTGGTTGGATTTCCTCATGACCCAAGTAGGACAAGCTCCTGTTAGACTATGTCTGTCATTTAATATGTGGTGCCTGTGCCTGTGGGAAATACAATGTTCCAGGAGCAAGGAAAGCCCAGGGCAGAATGGGACCACCACCTTCTACAAGTCTTGACATTATTCTAAGACATTTTACCAAGATCATTGCTTTGGCTGTCATATTACACTGAGGCCTTATTTTCAGCATCATTAAATTCCTTAAAAATTTTTGACAGGTGTTTCTGTTAAGTTGAAACTCCAACAACTCTGGAATTATTGTTTTTCTTTTTTTGGACCAAGTGAAGTATTTGTCTTCTTAAATTTCTTCCTATTAGATGCAGCCCAGTATTTCAACTGTTGGCAATTATCCCAAGCTTGGCTTAAACATGTCCAGCAGCTGAAAATGTACCATCTTACAAAAAAACCACATACCATTGTCAATAGCTCCAATGCTAACAAAATTATTCTTCATCTTGAGTTAAAATATGCCTTTTTCCCCCTGTTGCTCTTTGGTTCTGGTTCTGCATTTTAAAGATAGAGTAAAAATTTTTTCTATTTGATAGCTGTGCCATTATTTGGAGATGGCTCTGTTATGTTCCACTTTGATTTGTTTCCAATGGAGAGTGCCAAGTTCTTCAGCCAGTCCTCTTTAAATGTGGTTTTCAGAGCCCTCTCTAATTTGGATACTATCCTCTGAGCTTGCTCTGACTTTAATGTTTTTCTCAAAACATGGCTCTTAGAACTGGTAAAACAGTGGAGCAAGTAAGTGTTCCACCTGACCTCAGTTTGCATTGTACCTCTACACAGGCATGTGACCCAGGCTATCTACATAACCTCTCCTCACTTCATTTTCTCATCTATAAAATGAGGTAATAATTAATAACTGTTTCTTGAAGACCTTATGGACATGTTAAATATTTAGTACAAAGACTAGCATAAAGGAAGCATTCCCCAAAATGTTAGGTATGCTAATTCCCTCTCAATCACATACTTTGTTCCAAATAAAGTATCACAATTCACGTCAGCTGTATTTGGGACTTGGTTTTGCTCTCCGCAGTATTTTAGGCACCTGTAATAGTACTTGGCATGCTCATTAGACAAGCACTTAAAGATGTTTTTTCCTGATGTGACCTGTAGCTCATCTTGTACTTATTCAGTGTGCATATAAAAGACACTTAAAGGTTGATTCTAGTAGTTCTGTTAGGGTTATGGGATTATGAGTGGCACTTTATTCCTTTCCTTCTTTCCAAGATAATTGCATGTCCAAAACTAAGGCACTAGTTAGGAAAACTGTGACCAATTCTTGTGGTAAAATATAATGCAGCCATTAAAAAGATTGTGTCTCATTGATTTAGAGAGATTTAAAAAAATATATTGCTAAGTGAAAAAAGAGGTTTACAAACATCTACATTACTATTTTGTTTTAAATATATATGGGAAAAGTGACAGTAATCAAAATGGTATGGTACTGGCATAAGAATAGATCCACAGATCAATGAAACAGAATACAGAGCCTAGATATAAACCCACACAGATATGGTCAATTAATAAATGATAAAGGAGCCATGAATATACAATGGGGAAAAGACAGCCTCTTCAATAACTGGTGCTGGGAAAACTGGACAACTACATGCGAGTGAATGAAACTGGATCACTGTCAAACTCCATACACAAAAGTAAACTTGAAATGGATCAAAGACCTGAATGTAAGACATGAAACCATAAAACTCTTACAAGAAAACATAGGCAAAAATCTCTTGAACATAAGCATGAGCAATTTTTTCCTGGACACATATCCTTGGGCAAGGGAAACAAAATAGAAAATGAACAAGTGAGGCTACATCAAACTAAAAAGCTTCCATATAACAAAGGGCACCATCAGCAGAACGAAAAGGCAGCCTACTGTGTGGGAGAATATATTAGTAAATGATTTATCCAATAAGGGGTTAACATAAAAAATATATAAAGAGCTCATATGCCTCAACACCAAAAAAGAAAAAAACATGATTAAAAAATGGGCAGAGGACCTGAACAGACATTCCTCCAAAGAAGAAATACAGATGGCCAACAGGCACAGGAAAAGATGCTCCACATTGCTAATCATCAGGGAAATGCAAATCAAAACCACAATGAGATATCACCTCATACCAGTTAGAATGACCTCAATCCAAAAGACAAGAAATAACAAGTGTTGGCAAAGATGTGGAGAAAAGGAAACCCTCCTTCACGGTTGGTAGTAATGTATATTGGTGCAGCCACTGTGGAAAGCAGTATGGAGGTTCCTCAAAAAACTAAACACAGAAATACCATACAACCCAGTAATTCTACTTCTAGGAATTTACCCAAAGAAAACAAAATCCCTGATTCAAAAAGATACATGCACCCCTATGTTTATTGTCACATTATTTACAATAGCCAAATATGGAAACAACCTAAGTGTCCATCAATAGATGAATGGATAAAGAAGTGGTATATATACACAATGAAATCTTTTTCAGCCATTAAAAAAAGGAAGAAATCCTGCCATTTGTAACAACATGGATGGATCTAGAGGGTATTATGCTAAGTGAAATAAGCTAGGTGGAGAAAGACAAATACCATATGATTTCTCTTATTTGTTGAATCTAAAAACAAAATGAATGAAATAACAGTTGATTCATAGACACTGAGAAGTGACTGGTGGTTACCATGGGAAAGGGTTGGAAGTGGGTGGGTAGGGTGAGGGAGACAAAGGGGCACAAAAATTCTCAATCATAGTATAAGTTGGTCACAGGGATAGTAGTACAGCATGGAGAATATAGTCAATAATTTTATAACATTTCCCTATGTTGACAAATAGTAACCACACTAGTGGGGGTGAGGATTTAATAATATGGGTATCTGTTGAACCAGTGTCATATACTTGACACCAATGTAAGACTGTATGTCAACGATACTCCAATTAAAAAAAAAACCTTAAAAAATAAATATGGGAGAACAATTAAAGTATTAAAATGGTTATAATTATGTGTAGAATTTTTTTATCTTCAACTTAGAATTTTTCTATAATAAATATATACTTTTACTTTCTAAAAAAAATAGGTTTAGGTAAGAAAACAAAGTAGGATTTAAAGATAGACTATTAATACATCTGCTCTGAGTCTGTCCTATATTTGAACAAATATACTTGCTGCCTTACTATATACATCAAACAGCCCCTCATCAAAATAAGAATCTGACTAAATTCTTTACTGTAACTCAATATATTGTCAATCAAACTCTCTATATTCCTCAGACTCTGATTTTTAGGAATCATTAATGTGAACCTGAGGCCACGAAAATTAACGAGGACTTAAAAGAAAGGTTGTTTAAAAAGCTAAGTAGTAAATATATGCAAAATTATGAGTTTTATATATAGCATAATATATACTGTCACTGCAAACCTGGGTTTTAGGCCTGGTTCTGTCACCAGCTCTATACCATGTCTTCTAACAACTCTTTCTTAAAAAAACCTTAAAAATGTAAAGTTCATGCTAAAGGGTGCCTAATGTTCTTTTTAGAATAAATATTCAGAATCCTGTAACTTTCAAATAATGCTTTGTTTCTGGAATTATCAGAAAAATGAAAGTATTATAGCTTGAACTTGTTACGGAAGTTGATTTTTGCTCTTTTTATTTGAAGCACTTCCATTTGGCAAAATCCCCATTTTGGAAGTCGATGGATTTAACCTTCACCAGAGCCTAGCAATAGCAAGATACTTGACCAAAGGCACAGGTAATATGTTTATTGTGTCTAACATTTTTGATAACTGAAAAAATACATGATGTATATTCAAAATTCATTAAATAACTACCATTGAATGCTATAGTGCAAAGAAGAGTGGAATTAAATGCTAGAGAAGTATAAACCTACTAGCTCTATTAGTTTAACTTTCGGTGAGTTCCCCAGACAGTTTTATTTTATATTGCACACATCCCTCCTGCCCTACACTTTCTTGCCATCAATCCCTTTTTGGAATTTAGCTGAACACTTAGATATGTTCAGACGAACCTAACCCTATGCTAGCATGTGTAACCTAAGTTTTCAGAGGAGATTAAACACTCTATGGTTTCTCGAGGCTAAAATGATTCAGTTATAAAAATCATGAATTTGATGCCTTTCATCCTAATCACACTGAAAAAAATTGAAGGGGAGTCTTTGCCTCCACCAAGTGCCATCTGAGACATCCTTCGTGGGTAGTTAGCTGGGCTGCTTTGTTAACCTCTGCATTAACATGGTGAGATGAGAAATAAAGGAAATTGTTAGTTCTTTGCCTTATGCCCTTTCTCCCATTCTATGCTCTGCTGTCTTTTCTCTCCCTCCTACTCTCCTAACACTCTTTTTGAGTCAAAAGCTACATTTGGTTTCCTTTGAAGTCCCTTTCTTTTTAATCAATTTGTGGACCCACCAAGGTCATCCCAATCCTATCACCCTGCCCCCTGCCCCACCAACCACAGTGCAAGCCATAGACATATGGTTAGCTCACAAATGAAATGGGTCATAACACTAGTCCTTCATTTTCATCCCTACTTGGACTTCCCTGGTTGAAGTGTCGGCTATCAATTTTATGCAGATGACTCCTTATTCAACACTTTTAGTCCTAAATTCCAAGACTATATTTTTGGAATATATGTATGTATGTATATATACACATAAAGTAATACGTGTATGTTAAAAATACAAAAATTTCTATTACCCTAACATGTTTCAACAAATTAAATTCTTTGTTGGTTTAGAAAAGATGAAGATGACTTCTGACTATGGAGATTTGACTGAAGTGAAAATGAGTTTTGAGTTGACTTGGGCAGTGTTTCTCCAACTTTATGTGCATTAGGATTGCTCAGAAGCTCTAAAACAGATTGCTCGGCCTTGACTCAGAGTCTGTGATTCAATGGGCCCAAGAATTTCCACTCTTATCAATTTTCCAGATGATACTGATACAGCTGGCCCATGGACCTCACTTTGAGAATCTCTGGGTTAGAACATTCCAGGCAGAGAGGAAATGGCATGAGAAAAAGAATAACTTCAAACATGCAGGGTGAAGAAGCAGAAAGAGAAATGGATAGAAAAATTGGGATCTGGTTAGAAAGACCCAGAATATAAATGTTGCCTTAAACAATTGTAGTTTTTTTAAATTGAGATGTAATTGACATATAACATTATATTAGTTTCAGGTAAACAACACGATTCAATACATCTGTGTCAGGTATACAATAGATTTGATACATTTGTATCAGGTGTACAACATAATGATATGTATATACCATGAAATGATCACTTCAATAAATCTAGCTAATATCTGTCACCACACAGTTACAATTTTTTTTCTTGTGATGAGAACTTTTAAGATATACACTCTTAGATACTTTCAGATACATAATATAGTAGTAGTATTAACTACAGTTACTATTTGTACATTACATCCCCATGACTTAATTATCTTAAAACTAGAACTTTCTACCTTTTGATGAAATGATCACTTCAATAAATCTAGCTAATATCTGTCACCACACAGTTACAATTTTTTTTCTTGTGATGAGAACTTTTAAGATATACACTCTTAGATACTTTCAGATACATAATATAGTAGTAGTATTAACTACAGTTACTATTTGTACATTACATCCCCATGACTTAATTATCTTAAAACTAGAACTTTCTACCTTTTGACCACTTTCATCCATGTTATCCCTCCACCCCCGATCTGTTCTCCGTATGTTTTTATTTTTAGATTCCACATCTAAGTGAGATCATACAATATTTGTCTTTCCCTGATTTCAATTGTAGTTTTTTTATCATAGCTATGGCTATGAGCTTGGAAAGATTATTCTGGCCATGCTTTGTATTCGGTTGGCATGACTGCAGGGCTGCACATCTGGATGTCACTGAAATAGTTCAGACAGCAATGGAAAAGAAGTGAGGAAAAAGGAGGAAGTTTGTGAAGACAGAATCATCGTAAGGCTGGGAGACAGACAGTGGCATGTGAAGGGCGGTTTATGTGACACCAGGAGAGTACAGGGGAGGCAGACTGCAGCTTGGAAATAGTTTGTCATTCTCATAGCTCTTTCTCCTTTTCCTCCTTCACCTCTTCCTCTTCTTAAAAAAAAAAGGCCTTTAATTTGCTATACCCTTTTCAATATCTGTCTTCTCCAGCTGGCCATAAGTACCATGCAGGCAAGGAATTTATCTCTTGCATTCACTGCTGTAGTTCCAGTCGGGGCTGACCCACAGTTGGAGCATAGTAATGATTTGTTGAATGAAAAAGGAAGAGATTGTTTGCTGTAGGACATGATGACTCCATTTTGGGATTTGTTGAAGGAAGTTCAGTGGCCAAAAAGATGCACAGAGAATTATCCAAATGGAGGCTGAGAATATAGGCTTGGAATTTAGGATTAAAAGTATTGAATAAGGAGTCATCTGCATAAAATTGATAGTGGATGCTTCGAGCATGGAAGTCCAAGTAGGGATGAAAATCAATAAAGAGAACCTATGATGGAATTTGGAGGGACTTTTCAAGATGAGAAAGAAGAATCAACCTTTGAATATCAAACAAAAACTATGGATGGTTTATAGAAGATCTCTAAATCATGAAAGCATTTTATTTCACTTTTAACAGCTTTAATGAACTATGATTCATCCACTGTCAGTACAGTTCTTGCTTTTAGTAAATATACACAGTTGCTTTTGTAAAAGCAATGTCTTTTGAAACACTTCCACACAGAAGCATTTTAAATTGACACCAATGAGAAAATATTTAGGAAGACCAACGATTTCTTAGTTAAATAAGCAATGGATAGCAAGAAAAAAAAAACCTCTATTACTTTAAACTTACCATTTCTAGGAAGAATACAAATGTTGCTGACAAAAATTTTCTGCAGAAGTCAAACTAATTCTTTTTACAAAATAAATGACAATGTATGTACAGATTATTTATTGTAGTATTGCTTGTTTTAGCAAAAGTTAGAGATAAACCTGATCAGCGGAATAGTTAGTTAAATTCGTAGTGGCACTTCTACTTAAAGGAATCCCATGTGGCTGAAAAAAGAGCAAGTTCCCTCTGAAGGAACTTGTGAGGAAAGATCTCTAGGATATATGGGTGAGGCACATATTGAGTGGGGTATATATTCTTATTTTCATTAAAAAAAATGGAAGAATTAAAAAAAACCAATAAAAGTGGTTACCAACATGTTTGGTAGGTGAGGGAGCAAAATGAGGTGGGTGCGGGCAGGGGTACAAGTTAGTTTTTATTGGATTCTGTTTGATATTGTTTTGAAGTTTTGAACCCTATGAATATATTGCCTATTCAAAAAATAAATGTTTCAATATAGTAAATTAAATTAAGCATATTCTTGGGAATAAAATGGTCTCTGTCTGCTCCATAGATTTGGCTGGAAAAACAGAACTGGAACAATGTCAAGCTGATGCGATTGTGGACACATTGGATGATTTCATGTCACGTTTTCCCTGGGCAGAGAAAAAGCAAGATATAAAAGTAATGTGATCAGCTTGCTATCACTGCAATTAATCATGTCCACTTGCCAAACCTTATGTTAGGTGCTTTAAAAATCCCTTTTATCAAAGTAAGACTCACCCAGAGTTTTAAAAAAGTTCAGAAGTATCATGATTCCCTGCCCACCTCTCCACATTAATCTCTTCAGATGAACCCTCTATTTAACATTTTTAGCTGTTCATTTTAGATTTACACATCTCTGTGTTTCTATAGGATATGTAAATAGGACCTTCTCTGATTCACTAATTTTAGGTAGTTTCTGTGGATTATCTAATAAAAAGTTCTCTCTCACATTGTCATTCTCTCTGCTTCTCTTCCCCCAAACTCCTAACATACTGATGCTTAAATTTTTTGGTTAAATCAGTACATGTCACGTTCGCACACCTATGCAAATATTAGACAAACCTGTGCATTGTAGTGTACTTTGGACTCTTCTGCCTCAGAATCTGTTAAATGCCTTTTTTTATTTGCTTAACTCTTTTTACTTTTATTGCGGAACCTTCCCACACTATCCAATAGCTTGCCACTACGATTTTCCACGGGGTCAATGATATAAGGTAATGTATTATTTCCATTAGCTTCTTGGAGATACCTGGCCAAGATTTCCATTCTCCTTTGTAGAGCTGTCCGGGTTCTCTGCACAGCCGTCTGTCATCATTAGACTTGCCTTCGCTGCCATCCTGGAGACGCATTTCTCTTGAGTTGGAGTCCTGTTTCTTGGATACTATCCTGTCTTTATTTACTCCTTTGCTTATGTGGGGCACATGCCCCAGTATTGCAAAAGTTACAACAAATGCTCAATAAGAGGAGGCACGACGACCACGGACGGTATGGCTTGTCTTGTGTATCCCAGCGTCAGTCTGGGTTGATTGTCCTAAACACCTGGCGCATACTTGGCATCCTGGAATCTTTATTATCAGCTTCGATGTTTCTTTCAATTCTTTCCTGGGTTCGTTCTTCTTCTGTGGAGCAATCTTCCAAGAGCTTACTGAGCACAGAAAAAAGTTTGGGGCCTTATTTTTCTAAAAATGTTATTTCACTTTCATACTTGTTTAACGATTTGGCTGCTTATACATCTCTATGTTGACAGTACTGTTTCTTCAGTATTTGGAAAGCATTTATCTATGGTCTTCTAGCTGTTGAGATATGTGAATCTGATCTAATTGTTGACCTTTCCTAGGGGAACTATTTTATTTTCCTCCCTGAAAACTGGTCAGACACTTGGCCCTAGAGTTCTGAATTTTTACAATGGTTAGGTTTGGTATTATCCTCTTTTCATACATTGTGCAATCTTCTTTTTTAGTCTTTTCAATTCTAGGACTCATGCTTTAATTCTAGGGAATTTCCTTTAAAAATTTCCTCCCTCTTTCTTTTCTTTGATCAATTCTATTAGAATTCCAATACTGGATTTTTTGTTTCCCATTGAGGTTTTTCTTTTCGCATTACTTTCAGGAAAAAAATCATCAACCCTTGAGTTATAAATGTCTGGTATTGTGTTTTTAAATTTATAAAGACTCTTTCTCTATGATGTTTTTAAAAAAATTTCTATTTATTTAGTGGCTACAATATTATTTCCATGCCTATTGTATGTTTCTTAAAAGGTGTTATTTTTCCTTCTTTGTTTTGGTCTCTGTCTTTCCCCAGTAGTCAGATCACCCTTTATAATCCATGAAAAAGCATCAGGAAATTAAAATATTTACTCAAAACTCTCACATGTGGATGGGGTTTGAGTTTGAGCCCATCTTGGGAGTTCCCAATATCATTATCTTCAAGATTTTCCTCTTGCACTAGAAAGAGTCCCTAGAGGCTTTCAGTCTCCTGCCCAGAGGTAAGGGCCTAGCTGACAGTGTGCTGGGAGACAAGTAGCAAAGGGTGGGCTGAAAGTCTGAGCAATCTACCGTTCAGCACGCATACACTTATTTAATCCCCGTTTTTAGTTCCTTATGGGTGAAAACCCTTCACCCAGCGGTCATCTGTCTTGCCTTCCCCAGCCTTCTGCTGAGGCTGGGAAGCTGCAGGTGTCTAGCAGCATATGATGAAGAGACCACTTCGTTCACAGTTTTCCACCGATCTTCATTTACCCTCTTGCTTACCTCCTTACCCTTGATTCAAGACATGTCCTGACATTTCTGAGCCATTTGAGGGTTTTATGGGACAGATAGGGTTGGTTTTTGGCTTTCCCTTTGCAGGTACCATTCATCCGCTTTACAGCTTCCTGTGTTTGCTCGTCTCCTCCTGTTCTGTGCTCCCTTGTGGGTTTTATCTTGTCAAAAGTATGCATTTCCTGTTGTTTTGGGCTGAAAAACAATTTTATGTGTGTAAAGTCCATAATGTTATCCAGCATTCTAAAGAGACCACCTCAGTCCATTATTCTCTATTACAGCCACCTAGTGGTTTTCTTCAGGGCACTTATCACAATTTCTATTTTAAAATACTTGTTGTCTCCTCCAGTAGAATGTGTCATGATGGAGGAATTAGGCCTGTTATTCACGGGTGTACTCCACACCTATCACAGTGCCTTTTCCTCTGCAGGCACTACTTCCTGAATGAGTGATACGAAGAGTTAAACGTATCAAAACGCTCACCATGTGGTGTTGGCTTAAGCCCTTTACACTGAGTGTTAGCTCAGCCACTCCTCCCTATCCTCCCATGTTTTTTATTGTCATATCCACTTTGTGGATGAAGAAACTGAGAAATAGAGTGGTTATGAAGTTGTCCTATGGCCTCATCACTTATGCATATTTCCTCTTAAATTATGATCAATTAAATTTATCCTAAATTATGATGAAGTCTCTTAAATTGTGATGAATTTCCAAAGCATCCCTTTAGGGAGAAACTTGCTATCCTCATTTCCAGCTGAAGAAATAGAGGTTCATGTAATGCAAGTAACTTGTTTAAGGTTATTTAGCTAGTAAGTGGTACACAAGGAATTCAAATCCCAGTCACTCTCAGAGTCCACATTCTTAATCACTAGGGTGTAATGCCACAGTGCTAGCACCTGTTCAAAATAGCTGCACACATATTATGGTATATGTTATAGCTTAGGGCTTATATTCAAAAGCTACAGCATAGAATGGAAGTTTTATCAATTTACTTAAGCATATTTATTCTGAATATTATTTAATTAGGACTTTCTGATTTGAATAGAGATATTTGGAACATATAACTATTCACATTTACTGACTCCTTGATATAACTGTAAGGTGTATGGGGACACATACACACACATATGTATGACTAAGCAAGACAAAGTTAAATACAAGTTCAGTTTTGATGATAGAAATACATTTGGACTCCAGGATCAGACCACCAGACTTGAATCCTGATTCCCTTCTGACTAGTTGTCACACAACTTCCTATAAATAGTTCAAATTCTTGGTCTTTAAACTAAGGGTATCAGAGAATCTACTTTAAAGTATGTTGGGAGGATTAAATGATAGCATAAGTACTATGGCTAGGTAGAAAGTGTTAAATCTTAGCTACTATAATTAGCACAGTGTTGTTATATAGTGCAGTGTTCATTGTTTTTCCTTTTGTCACAGTATCGTATTTTATATATCCTTATAAATAGACAAGTAGATATAAAGTCCTTAATCTAGAAAAAAGTATCTAAAGCTTTTTGTTCCACGTGCCAAAGGCCCTACTGATTGGTAGTCTATCAACTTCTGGGTTTGCTCTTCTCTATTTCTTGTACACTTTTGTGGCTGAGGCTCCATAACATAAGAAAATATTCCCAGAACATTTATGGTAACAGTTTACCTTTGTATGAGAGTAACAGTGCTTTTACATGCCACCTAAATAAAAATCACAGGACATAATCCAAGCTCATGAATAAATCATATGAAGGGAGAACATGTTGCAGAAGTACTGCAGATTGCTACAGACTATCTGATCAATAAGCAGGACCTGCCTAATAATACACAACGAAAAATGCACGGTTCTGTTATTTCATCGCCTCGGCGCCCAGGAGGTTGCATTGCTGCCACCTTGTGGTCAGGGAAATTTTTCAGCAGCAGAACACTGATGTAGTAAATAAAGGTGGACAGATAGCAAATACTAGACTATTTTATGAAGTACACATCACTATAGATGTTTCAGTTTTGGTTGCTAAAATATTCCTCCCAATTCTTTAAGAATATTAATTTAAAAGAAGAAACATGTCTTTGGCTACTGGTCACCCTGACAACCTTTGAACTTACCACTACTGTTTCTGTAGTTCAGTGCACCTGGTTCAGTTTCCTCATGTGAAGAATGTGGGGCATGGGGCAGAGGATGGAAGATGAGCAGCACGGAAGGAATGCTAGCGGCTCACTTCCAATACTAAGTGATTTTGGAGTATGGATTTAAAAATAATGCTTTGGAGAATTACACAATCCTCCCTAATTCCTCTAAAAAGTCAACTGATTGAACACTATAGCAATGACTTCTCAAGGTGAAAAAACCTCCAGCCTTGTAACTCTGGAAAAGTAGGGCATTTCTGAATCCACCAAGCATAATAGTGGCTGTCTAGGAAACACATTTTTAAAAGTACACATCTGGAGAAAAGGATATATAATCAAATTTCATCTTTGGCTATGTTATTTTGGTGAGTATTCTTTAAAATGACTCCTAAATACTAGTGATTAATGCTGCTTAGTAATTTACATTTCATGAGATGAGATGATTCTAAGGAACCACTTATGAGATGAACTGAATCACTGAGGTAATTCACCAAACATGTAAAGAGAAGCTGGGCTACAGGAGAAGTCAATACACAGAGATTAAGGTTTTTATTTGGTACTGCATATACACAAGCATTGGTGTACATTAAATTGTGTAATGCACTTTTAAAAAGTAACAAAATTACCCAGATGGGCATACAGGAGTTTTTGGAAAGCTGTCCAGCAGCTACACTCTGTTCCATTCAACTCCTTCCTGTTTTTAGCTATTCGAGGACAGCCATGTTGGCAATTCCCTTTTCCACTGATGTCCTGAGCTGAGCTGAGAGAAGTGCCACATGGATCTGGGCCCTTTGCCTCGCAGCTCACATTATGTCTGTAGAAGGGGCAGAAGGACTCACATTACTTTATTTAGAAATAGGAATATATTGACCGTAGAGAAAGAACCTTATGTATAAAGGTGGTATAGAACAATGGAAAGAATATGAAGTCAAAATAATAACAAGCTTCCTAAGCTTTAATGTGTAAAATCTGGCAACTGTATATATGTAATGGTGCTTTTGCAAACTGTATTTTACAAATGTAAGGCATTATGCTGTAGTAAGCTATATTACCTCCTAAGTCATGGTGATAACTAGAAGTAAATCAACAAATTGGTGAGGCAGTGATCCACTGACTTAAAAGCTGTACTTAGTATATAGGTCATTTATGAATATTAATATGTATATATTTTATAATATCTGAGTTTGGCTTACATTTCATACCCAAAATACCAGTCAAAATGTTCATATAAACAAACAGTTATTACCAAGAAAGAGGCCATGAATTATTTGATCTCCAGAGATTCAAATAAAAACACAATTTTAAAAAATGGTTATGTTAATTTTTTTAAGGTTATTATTTGGTATGTAATATTACCTTACATATCAAAAGTGGGAATCTAGATGATGGGTTTTGTAGATGATTTTGATGTAGCCAAATTTCATACTAGGGCACAATATCAGGCCAAAGAGAGAACATGCATGAAGGCCTGAGAGCATGACTCATTCCAGGTTTCTTCTGGTAAGAGCAATGGTGAAATGAGACTGCCAAATTAAAGGAATCTAGCCTTACAGAATAGAAATAATTTCTTTATGTTTAATTATATTATTTTACTGTAAAGGGGGTGAGGCTAAGAAAAATGGGAATTTTAGAAATGTAAAAATGTAACAATCATTTTTATTAAAATTAAGATAAAATCATGAAAAGATTTTAAAGGTGAACTATTCAGTCATTATATAAAAAGAAACTATAAGAACTGGTGACAAAGTTTTATTTTTTTAATCCATGATTAATAAAGGGGTGACTAAGATCTATAGAGAAATAGACAGATATTATTATATATTATCTATAGAGACCTGAATCTACAGATGTCATACATTTGGGGAGAAAACCCAACCAACAACAACACATAGCCGCTTCCATTCCTTATGAACTTGTGGGAGAATAAAGATGAAAAAATCTACTTCTTCAAAACTTATTTATTTTTCTTCCTGTAAGCCTTAAAATGATCTTTTTCTCCTAGGATCAGATGTTTAATGAGCTACTTACATATGACGCACCTTATCTTCTCCGAGATTTGGACACATACTTAGGGGAAAAAGAGTGGTTTGTTGGTAACTCTGTGAGTATATTTTACATTTAAAAAAATGCAAGCAAGTATGTATATATGAATAAAACAAAAACTTACTGTAAAAAAATGTTACCCATGGGGAGGTAGTAGGTTAGAGAGCAGAAGTAAAAGCTAAACTTCTTTGAATAAACCTTTTTTGGTAGACTTAAGCTTGGAACCATGAACTTAAGTATTTTATATATAGCTGACCCTTGAATAACACAGTTTTGAACTGCGCAATTCCACATATACACATAATTTTTTCAATAATATTGGAAATTCTTTTTGAGATATACGATAATTTGAAAAAAAACATTTTCTTTTCTCTAGTTTATTGTAAGGATACAGCATATAATACATATAATACATACAATGTATGTGTTAATCGACTGTTTCTATTGTCAGTAAGGCTTTTAGTCAACAGCAGGATATTAGTAGTTAAGTTTTTAGGGACTCAACAGTTATATATGGACTGTCCAGGGGATGGGCACCCCGACACCATGATATTCAAGGGTCCAACATATTCCGTGAAAAACAAAAACATTTTAAAAAGCTAACACTACAAAGCAAAGTGAAACAAATGAGCCTGTGTCAAACTGATGCAGAGAGCATGTGGAGAAGTACAGATGTACTCAATTAGTGATGAACTATTTTAAGAAATACCATCATTTGTAAAACATAGTAAGTTGACTATTTCATTACAGATATTTTCTCAGGACAAAAATGTCATCATACACCAATTTTAGTAATCATATTGTTGGTGGTACTGGGTACAGTGGTATTGTTTTCTGGTATCATTATATCTATGTGGGGTAAAGCTGTTTGTGCATGTCATCAAGAACCAGGATCTCCAATGTGGGAGAAAGAAGATACAGGTGTAAGATCAATTAGGTTAAGTAAACATCCTATTTCTGAATGTGAACTAGATGTAAAAGTGTAACTCATGATACACTTTATCTTAGGATAAAGACAAAAGCATTTTGCATCTCTACTTAAAACAATGACCAACCCAGCTGCCCTGGGCATACCTAGGACCCAGATTCTGGTATCTAAAATAATAAAAGGAACGAGGGCGTCTTGGAGAAGTGGCTTATTTTCAGTTTGGGATGGGAAGTATAAAAGATGAGCTGGCAATATTACCTTGTCATACCAGAAGCAAATAAATTATCAAAGACAACTTGGGTTGTGTCAAAAGAACTCAGAGGTCACCTTGAAGAGGCTCCCACTGGCCAAAGATGGGACAATTCAAACTTTAATAAGAATATTAATAGCAATGGGTTGAAACGAATAAAAATGAACCAATCCATGAATTTATGACAACCACCATCACATGTACACACAAACCCCAAAACCAAACTAAATGTCAACGGTTACTTTTATTAGATGCTATGAGCCAAATTATTATTCTGAAAACTGTTAAAAACAAAAAGGGGGAAAGAAGGAGTTTGAGTAAGGCATTTATCTTGTCTTTCCCATGCCAACTGTACCTTAAGATAAAAATTGATGGAAAAGGTATGTTTTCATAAAAGTATTCCAGTTAATAAGGAGAGATCAAACTATCACCATTTTCCAACTCTTGATGAATTAACACATGTAGGCACTGACTATCAATAATTGTTAATATCACAAAAAGGTGAAACAGCCAGGTATTATGGGCCTACGGAGGAGCACATCACCAATGAAGTAGTCTTGCCAAGAAAATAAAATATAACTCTGACTTAGATGCTGTGGTAGGTGAGAGTCCCTGTCTCCAAGGAGGCTGTGTTCTAGGAGACAAGATAGATTGCTTTTTGAGGCTTTCTCATGACTTACTCAGACCACTATCTGTCCAGTGCTGGCATGACACAAGCAAACTTTAACATCTTTCGTCTCAACTTTCCGCCTCACCACACATCCCTTCATTTCTTTCCACTGATTCTTCAACAGCCTTTCCTAAAATGTTACTCTTCCTGCCTTACTGGCTGAACTTCCAATGATTCTGCTTTGTCCTATAATGGACATTTTGGAACAGACGAAAAAAATACTGATTGGGTTATTAGATGAGGGAAAATATACTATCAGAGAGAGGTGGAGATTGAATCAAGTTAAAGAGTATGTACTGAAAAATCCCATTTTAGTAAAAACATACACAAATACATAGAAAAATACCTTATACACAGAGGTGTTGGTAACCTCTTGGTGTTGGGGATATGGTGTTACCTGTAATTTTCAATCATACACCCATTTCACTTTTGTAGTAACAGATTTCAAATTTAAAAAACTAATTTTAGAATAGATTATTATCCTTTATGTTCATTTGGAAATTTTTGTTTCCTTTGAACTAGGTAACTTGGGCAGATTTCTACTGGGAAATTTGCAGTACCACACTTTTGGTCTTTAAACCTGACTTACTGGACATCCTACCCAGGCTGGTGACATTGCGGAAGAAGGTCCAAGCCATTCCTGCAATTGCTGACTGGATGCAACGAAGGCCCCAAACCAAACTCTAGGGGTACTTGCTGCCCCCAGACTTCGCTGTGCTTCACAGTGTCACTCCCATCAGATAAGAGGTTAATCACCCTGCCATTATCCACACACTCCCTTCCCCAGGTCCACCAAGACTTTTACTTTTGCTATATTCTGCCTTAAAAAAAATAAAGGAAGGGGAAAAAGGGGCATTTAGTTTCTAGTATCGTTTTTTTCATAATGGCTTCACATTTACAAATGAGGAAAAATAGTTTATGATAACACAGGCAGGCCTAGTTTTGCACCAGTTCCATCATGTATGAATTTCAGTCACAATGGTTTAGTTAAGTAACACATTTCTCCTCCAAATGGTTTGGACTTCAGTTACCATGGTGTGTTAACTATAATTCCATAAAATATAAACCTTGCTTCTGTCTCAGCAGTCCACAGAGCGCTATGTAAGGAACAGATGCACAACACGACCAACGACTGATCTTTCAAAGTCTGTTAGTGACTGGTCACTGCACGTCTGTTCGTCACACACACACACAGCAAAGGGTGCACTTGCACTACCTGTTTCTCAGTGACAAATCCACTTGACATTTCACAAAAATGGTAACTGAAGAAGGGAATTCACCAACAAAGATGTGGCCGCCCTTCACTGAGCTAGTCTTATCAGGGCCATTTTTCCAGATGCTTACTTTTCATCTCTGTCACATTTTGGTAATTCTTGCCGTACCGTAAAGTCCTCCATTATCATTTGTTCTGGTGATCAGTGATTAGTAATTACGACTTGCTCAGAGCCCAGATGATGGGTAGCATTTCTGAGCAACGAAGTGTTTTAAAATTAAGGTACATACATTTTTTTAGATCTAATGCTACTGCACACGTTAGACTATAGTATAAACATTTTTACATGCACTAGAAAATCAAAAAAATTGACTCACTTTATTGCAGTATTCACTTTAGCACAGCTGTCTGCACCTGAACGCCCAGTATCTCCAAGGTATGCCTGTAACTAGATTATCCAACCTGTTTTAAACATTATTGGAATATCAAATTTTAGTTCAATTAACCTAACATTATTAAGATTGGATTGTCTAATCTTAGTATGTTATGTTATATATGGAAACAGACTAGTCAAGTAAAGGGTCTTATACTTGAAATGCAGGGTAAGGAAGGAGAACATAGTTGAGAAGCCAAAAATGAGGAGAACATGTCAGGGAGAAAGAAAAGGAAAAAGAAAGCACAGCTAAGTATGACCTTGTTTAATGTATTTTTTTCCTACCAACAATGTTCTATGGGGAAAAAATGTTAAATACTTTATACATTTTTAAGGATTACACATAAAAACAAAGTGTATGTCCCAAGTAACTTGCTTCTTTGCATATCTTACCAACAGTGGCTGTTAATAAATTATAACAGATGAGTAAATCTCATTGCAAAGTACTCTGTCATCCAAGTCCTAAGAAAAAAAATTATCCTCCACAAAAGAAATTCAAATTGTACTCTAGGTAATCGAAGTGTTAACTTTTCTTCCCTTTTATGCATGTTCATTTGCTTCCATATAATTACATTCTGACGAGCTTTAATGAAAACAGAATTTAGAAGTGATAAATGCAATGCTTATCTAAAATTCTGAAAATTTAAAATAATCAGTCCCACTTACCTACACAAATCATTATTCAAAGATAAAATGCAACCACAGCAGGTTTCATAAGATATCTCATTTCAATAACATTATCATTAATTTTGCCTTTTTTCACTGAAGGACAACACATTCCATTATCCCATCCTGCACCCAAATTAAATGTTTCCTTGCTAATTACATGATAAAGTGTAACAGAGGATATGAAGGAGTCAAAGCAGAAATTGAATCGCATGTTACATTTATAATCAGAAAAAGAAAACTGCATACATTTTGGGAACTAGAGAGTTAAAAAAAATCAGTTTAATTTTATGGATCATTTAAATATGTTGCTTAAGGCTACACATACGGAAACCAAAGCTCCCAATGCTCCTATCCAACCACTGTATAACAACACCAACAACTAACAACATGAATGTTTCAACATAAACATTTACTGGAATAGTTTCCAGTCTACTGGGTCAGGAATAGTTATGAAAACACACAGGCATGTCTTTTAGCCCTGCATGACTTGAATTAGAAAAATAAAAGTTGTTTGAGTTGGTCAAGATATTAATCCAACAACTGTGGCTTTGTATCTATCCTCCCCTAACTGATAATGAGTTATGCTTACTGACATCAGACCATGAAGGGACTAAGGAGAATACATTCTAAGTAAAAATTTCCAGTTTACTGAGAAACAAACAATATTAAGCACACAGTATAATTGCCATTTGTGTTCAATATTGTATTTTTTTGTTTGAGGGTAAGGGAGGGTTAGGAACTATTAAAAAGGGTGTGAAAATAAATTTATAATTTTAAGTATTTCTATTAAGTCTAAGACATATTAGGAGAATCCATTTCATTAAAGATATAGATTTAATAATAACAAAAGAAAGAGTCTATCCCTAAAGACACATAAAAGTTATGAGGAATCCATTATGAGATTTATAAGGTAATATTCACAATGCCTAAGTAGCGGATTTGTGTAGCATGCTGTAGAAGGAGGTACTAATAGTATTTGCTGATTCCTTTTAGCCACATTACACTAAAATATATTGAATATGTTCAATATGCCTTCAAGTCTGGGTATGTTTAGTGAGTCATAGGATGTTAAGAATCACAGTGAAAGTTCATTAATCCTCCAACTCCCCAGGGTTATTACCTTGGCAAATTAGTAAATCAGGATGCCCTGGAAGTATAATCTCCAATAGTTAACAAATATCTGATTTATAAATAAGTTTATTTATAATGATATTTACATAATAAAAATAAAACACATGAAACTCACAAGTTATACAAAGAAACTGATATATAATAAAAACAGCAATATAGACTGACAGGCAAAAATTTAAAGAAAGGTTTAATAAAGAGCTAAACAACAAGTAGACAACTTTACTTCTAAATTTCACTGTGTCACCCACACTGAATTGGAATTGAACAATGGTTCTCTCTTCAGGAGGTCCTGTACTGGAAATTCTGGAAACTGGCAAATTATATTTTGATAAGAGTTTAAAGTTAATGACCTATTTCCATGCAGTACCTAATGCTGCATTAATGTGAAGTCACATTCAGTCTGCTGGGCAGTGAAATAACCTGTTAATATCTGTTCTGCCAGGCTAGAAAAATGTCGCCAACATTTTGCTGATAAGTGGAGATGTGGCAGGAATAAACTGCTATCTAGAGAGTAAAGAGACCTGGAGCGGAAGTGATTGGGCAACAGTTTCAGGAGAAGCAAAAGCCAGGAGAGAGAAATCAATGAAAACATGCACAAGAATAGCTAGAGTAATAAGCACAATCAGTGCAGGTGGGAAATGAACAGAAGGGATTCATTCATGGAGCAAGATGAGGGCTTCTTTAGTCACCACTCACTGGAAAACAACTTAGTGCCTAGCCAAAGAAATTTGTTTGAACAGAAGCACTAGAAGGACCTGGGGGTGTTAGTATATGGAATGCCACCTTTAAATTCAGGTTGAGTTCTTGTTGACAGTGGTGAACATCTGCTTCAAATAGCAATAAAATGAAGGCTATATCATCTATACAGCTGCATTCTTTAAACTGACATAATAAAAAGGAAGTTCAAATAAGACAAGCAAAAACAAGATGTAAGTATTGTCAAATAAGGCACATGTAAAAATCTACACACATTATCCAGTGAAAGACAATATATATATATTTGGAGGTAGAAATAATTACAAAAATACTGACATTTCTAAAGCATTAGCATATTTGTTACAAACAATCACCAACTAATCCCCATTCAGAAAACTGTTGTAAAATGATTATTCAACATCTTTAGGACTACATTATTCGTGTCTTTTTTGGAAATTTCACATGTGAGCATCTGGAGAAATCAGTTAGTGGCAAAAAAGTTGTCCATACTATGAGAAATGTAATATGGAAATTATAAAAAGGTATAAATGTTCATAAACCCCATGGTCGTCATAATGTAAATGTCCTTGAGTGCACCAAGTTGGTATTTTCTCATCAATTAGGAATTCACAATTTTTATTTCACAGGCCCATTGACGTTTTTAGTAATGTGGCTATATCTGCCGGCATACTTCCTTCATCACCTGCAGGTCAGAAAGTGGTGGTAAAAGGTTAATGAAAATATTTTAATAAAATATATTCTCTCTCTCCAGTTTCCTCTACCTTTGGTGGACTCCTAATTATCTTTCAATGCCCAGTTTTCTTCAGTGTCATTCCCTGTTCAAAAACCTTCCCGAATCCCTGCTTCCTCTGTGCTCATATTCATACACTGCCAGCACAGCAACCTACAGTTATTTCTGATTTGTTACATAGATAGGAATATAAAGGTACACATGGACAGTTTGGATCATATCCTATTATTATAGCAAATAGTATTTACTCCTCAGGTTTGCTAAATAAAAACATTTATGTAAAAAACTGAATAGTGAAAACAACAAAGCTAGATTCCAAACACAAATCATTTCATCCACACTTATATTTACAGTCCAAAGATAAATCACTTAGACTTAACTGACACATCTAAACAAAATTCTGAGAACAGAATACCAGTTGAGTATTAATCATAATAAATTATTTTTTCCTAATGTTTGCCCCAAATTTCAATTAAATGGGACCCCAGTACCTATATACGTATCCAGGAATATTCAGGACTTTCTAAGGTGTGAAAACATCTTGTGTCAAGGTGGCACAGAATCTAATCATCCTTAATTCATTCAATTAATCACTCAGATTTTTTTTAGAAAAACTGACTTATTAATTTCCAATAATGATACAGCTGGTGATTCATAAGCATTTGTATTAGTTCTGAATCACAGCTGTGAATAACTGTATAAATTAGATGTGGATAAATGCAGCAAAACTAGTCACTTCTTTATCACAAACATACCTCACTTGTAAATCTAAAATCACGAGAGTACCTCTATCTATTCTTCTCCTTTTGGTAAAAGCATATGCATAGGAACACAAACTACTGCATGAACTTTCAGGGGACTCAGTGACACCCTTGCCTCCAAGCTCATCCACAGACTTGAAGACAGACCATGAAATCTAAATTGACATTTGTTCTGAACTGACACCATGAGTAAATAACT